GAAGCAGATTATTTCTAATTTGGTTTTGAAATAGACAGTGCTCATAAACCACATTGCCAGGTTGGAGCAGTGGAAAATTCCAGTTTTTATCACCTCAGACAGCTTGTAGAGATGAAGCCCATTCTTTTAAAACAGCAATTAAGTTCTTAATTCAAACTCGACTTGGTTACTGTAATGCTCTCTACATCAGTCAGAATTCATTTTAAGATTCTTTTATTTAAGTTTACATGATCTTGCCCCACCTTACCTGGCTGATCAGCTGCTCCTCTTGTACAGAGGTCAAAACTTAAAGGTATAGTGGAGGATTTTTATGAATTAAAAAAATAAAAAAATTGAACATGCACAACCCTGTACCCGCTCCCGAGAGGGAACGCCTATTAAAAGGTTGCAAGAGCCCATTTCTCCTCTTTAACCACCTGTTTAAAAGTTGCTGTTTGCATCGCTCATACAAGCTTACTTTCCAAAGAGACTCACCACCGTTAAGTGAAAATGGGGACGAGCACGTAGGACGGCCTTACGTAAACATATCACCAGAATGATTGACAATTGCTGCCAGGTTTTTATCAGCTGCAATCCTAAAACTAGCTTTTGGCACAAGAGAGCAAATGCTTTTGGTTGGGAGGTATTAAAAAGATAAATAAAAAATTTGATTTTTCATCTAATTTCATATAGGCTTTAACTATTGTATAAGGATGTCCTCTTGTTGAACAGGAAGTAAAGTCACTGGTGAGCAGCTGTGACGGCATCTCCAGCTGTGTCTTCCTAAACGATGCGCAGCTCGCTTCCACCTCCTTCGATGGACGGATAGAAGTGTGGGACATGCAGAACGGATGCAGGTGGGAGGAGACCTGAGCCAGTTACAGAAGCAGCATCAAGTTCACCTCAGTCATTTAGCTTTTTAGTGATGTGTTGTGAAGTGACACGTCCTCTGTCTGCAGGACGGCTTTGATTGAAGGCCACACTAATACAATAACAGCGAGTGACATCACCCCGGACAGGAAACACCTCGCAACTGTGTCCCTTGATCACACACTTAAGGTTGGTCCTTTATTGTCTTGACAGAAAACAAGTCATTTTCACTAATATACAATCATAGGCTGTCTGGAATAGTCTGGAATTTGATTGTAGTGTTTTCTAAGTCTGGAAAAGCTTTTTATATATATTTCTAAAAAGATTTTAGTGAAATATTAATATTTAGCTACTTACATATTCGCTGTTATCCAAATAATGCATCTTTTCCTTGGTTTGTTCTTCTGTCCTACTTCCTTGTTTTCTTTACTTTCTTGCTTGTGCACTTTTTTACTTCCTTACATGTTTTTTTCCAGTCTTTATACCTTGTGTCCTTTAATCCTTGTCGCTGATTATTCCTCCATTTTTCCTCATGGTCCTCCATTCTGACTTTCATTTCTCCCATGTCTTTGTTCTTCTGTTCTGTCATTTTTTTCCTTTTCCTTATATTCATCCTTCCTATCTTCCTTATCTCTTCCATGCCTTCCTTTATTTTATCCTCACTTTAAACCTTGTAAACCACCTTATCTCCTCCCTTCTGTCGTTTCTTTCTTCCCTATTTCCTCCTCTTTCGTCCATCCATCCTTCCTTCGCTATGTCCTTCTTTTCCTCCAGTCTGTGTTTTCAGGCAAGGACGTGTAAAAAGTTGTCTGGAAAAGTATGAATTTTTTTCTTTACAAAAAACATTGTGGGGAACCATGTTAGAAAAGTAAAAGGGAGAAAATACATTTTAAAAGAAAATAAGAAATATTCAGAACATTGGTTTCACTCAATGTGGAGTCAAAGAAATACGAACACTATCTTGCCAAAAGTATTTGCTCATCCATCCAAATAATGCTTTTTACAGCTTTTTTGTGTATCTCTGCTTCTGTCTCCTTGAACCCCAGTCGGCCTCAGCAGATGGCCGCTCACACTGAGTCTGGTTCTGCTGGAGGTTTCTTCCTGTTAAAAGGGAGTTTTTCCTCTCCACTGTCACTACAAGCATGCTTAGTGTGAGGGATTGCCTTCGAGTCAATGAGTCGATGCAATCAACTGGTTTTTCTTACGTAGAAAACTTTGAATCAGTTTTACTGTATGATCTAGAGAGAACTGTAAAGTGACTTGAGATGAAGACAGCACCTTGAGAACGGTGTTGTGAATTGGCGCTTTATAAATAAACTGAATTGAATTGAATCAATTAAAATCAGGTGTTCAAATCATTTCTATGGTCACTATTTCTACAAACATCTGTGAAATAATGAGTCACCCTCAGGAGGTCACCTGTGCAACAAGTCTAGTTTTAAAATGACCTCACTCATTAATGTTTCACCCTCCACAGTTAAAGTGGAGATAGTTGGGACTGACAGCTCAGCTCAACCACACAGTCATAATAAACAGGCAGCATGAATGCAGAGATCATCACCTTTCTGTAGAGTCAATCGCTACAGACCTCCACACTTCATTCAGCCTTCAAATGACCGCCAGACAGTTTGGCAGTGGAGTAAACCCCGCTTCCTCATCTGATAATCAGATCAATGGGTGGTTGCTAGGACAACAGTGCTTTTCTGAAGGCATCACGTAAAGTGTCAAGTTTCGTGGAGGATCCAAAACTTGATACTTAAGGATCTGAAACTTGATACTCCGACACACAAATCTGATTTTTGCCTCCAATCTGACAGAAAATTGTGTCGCATGAGGCTCTGTCATGGTAAAGTATTCTTTACCCATGATAGGAGTTCAGGAGGACAGAATATGGATAAAGTAGTGATCCACTTTGAACCTCACAAAAACAATGATGGACAGAAAGCACAGTTTATCAATGTCCTCGAGGAAAAAAAAAAAAAAACCTCAGGAGAAAAAAATGGCTATAGTAAAATAGTGATCCTCCTTGAGCCTCATAGAAAACAAAAGAGTGGCAGATAGAGCAGGTAAGTGCAACATATCTCTCTCTTTATGAAAAAGGAAGGAAAACTCCGATAAACTTCCCAGATCTTTCTCTGAGAATCACCTCTCTGCCTCAGTCAGCATATAAATCATCCCAGAGTATTTATTGCTCGGTTTTTCTTTACTTTAGACGTAGATCTCATTATGTTTTTAATACAGGAACATTCCCTATCTGTTCTGTTTGAGACGCTGCACAGACTCATTCAGTGGGGCTTTGCTTTATAGCTGGGCCTGTGTTTTTTTGTTGTTGTTTTTTTTGTTGTTGTTTTTTTGATGATAACGTTTCATAATCTGTCCAAGTCAAATGTGGGAAATTGTTTTAAATTTCCTTGTAGCACAGAAACAGAAGTGAAAAAAATCTGTGCAGATCTGCCCACCCTGCCTAGTCTATAAGCAGTCAGTGTGGCATGGAAAAAAATTGAATTTTGGATTAAAAAGTTATATACAACCAGTGTTTTCAGGTCTTTGTGTTTCAGGAGCTTAGCCACGCTCCTTAGCTCCCCATAAAGGAGCTCTGAATTCTTCAACACATAAGGAGGTTTTGGAAATTCTTCCAACTTTGTGGAGACGATTTGGGCCACTACATGGATGGCAGTCTGGTGTAGAGAAACCTTTGAGGTGAATTAGAGCAGAGACTGGGACCAGATCTTCTCATCCAACATCAGTGACCTCATAAATTCGTTTCTGGAAGAATCCTCAAAATGTCCCCTAAACTAGCTCCTAAACCTTGTAAATAGACTTTCCTGAAGCTGTTATAGGTGCAAAGGGTGAACCAATGTTATATTGAGCCCAATAGATTAAGAACAGAGTTTATATTCATTATTTTCAAAGAGATTTAAAATGGTAAATGTCAGTTTTCCATGCATTTGCCCTAACAGAGATTATTAAACCAAATTAAGAAAAGTTTGACTTCCTTAAGTCAAAGTGGATGGGATATATTCAGAATAAACATGTTTTTTGTTGTCTTTTTTAACCAAAATAACAGTTTTTATAAAAACAAAAGGGGCGCCAATGTAGCAAATATTCTGTTTATTCACAAATTAGGGTCATAGTCTGTCAATAACATTTTTTATTTTCTGAATCAAACCAAACCTTTTCTGTTTCTCAGGTGTGGGCTGCCGCTAAAGCTAACGAGGTAGCCTCTCTGCCCAGCACCAGCCCTCTGAACTGTGTGACCTTTGACCCTGAGGGTTACCTGCTTGCTGCAGGATGCTGGGATGGAAGCATCATCGTGTGGAACTGGTTACAGAATCACATACAAGCTGTACGTTTTACTGCTGAAAGCGATTAGAGGGCAGAGTTGTTTTGATCTTTTATGGTTAAATATTTGGATTTTTAGACAAACTGACTTGTGAATATTTCCAGCTGAAATAATATTTCTAAAGGGGGCATAGGGTGGAAATAAATAAATGATTGTCTTCTAGATCTGGATGCTGGAACAGTATGTCAAAAAAATGTATAAATCTTAAAAAGTTCTGTAGAAAATAATAGTGAAGGTTAAAAAGCCGCGTTCTTTCTCCACATATTTCCACATATTTAAAAGTAGCATTTTCCTCCTCAGTCTCTGTGCGGCCACCGGCGATCTGTGCGCAGCCTCTCCTTCTCCCCCTCTTCCTCCATGCTCTGCTCCGGCTCCATGTCCGGAGAGGTGAGGGTGTGGTCGACGTCCACCTCCACCTGTGTGGGATGCTTTCAGGCTCACTGCGGAACCACTGAGAAGCTCACATTCCTGGAGGAAGGATCCATGCTGCTGAGCGCAGGCTCCGATCACACGGTCAGTCGATTCAATTATTTGTGGTGTTTTGTACTAAATTAGCTTCATAAACCTTTAATGAAATTGTTTCAAATATGTATTTTAGACATACTTTTGTCTGTGTAACAAAAAACGGCATAGAAACATTGAAAGTCTCCCTATGTTTGTGAAACAGCTCCAGCTCTGGTCAGGAGGACTTGGACGATCAGTCGCTTCTTTAAAAAGTGATGAAGTAAGCTCCTATTTCTACATAAATAATGACTTTCCAGATTCGTTACTTAAAGCTATCCATAACTATTATATTTCATGTGGGGTGCACTTGTTTACTTACCAAACAGATCATGAATAACTAACCAGTAATGCATTACTTAGTCTTATTTTCACAAATAGATCAGGATTGTAGCGCTTTCCTGTGCTCTCTTTAAAATATTATCATTTGTTTTTCTTAGTGTGAGTTTGAGCCACCTCAGAAGAAGAAAAAGCTAACCTCTGAGGCAGCTGCTCTCTGCGTGGCGATTGATGGAGACTATGCCGCCGTTGGTTACCACGGAGACGGCATCAAACTCTTCAGGGTTGATTCAGGTATGTTTTAGAGACACATGGAGAAAAAAATCTGTAAACAGGACTTATTTAGATTAAACAGACATGAATGCTTTTCTTTTCACAAAAGAGTAAAAGAATCTAACACATGGATGAAGCAACAAAACAAGGTTCGGCTGCTACTTCCTAGCATAGAAAGTTCTCATGGATAAGATTTGTTGCTTTTTTCTTTTAACTGACTGCATTTTATTTTACATAGCCTCAATTTACAAATTAATCACTGTAACCTACAAAACAGATTTGTTTTACCTGTTGATATATATCCAGTGACTCAGTCTGATCATATACAGCGCAACTGGAATGTATTCCTAGTGCTGCATTTTTTTTTCTAATTTTAGCTTTGTTAAAACAGTATTACAAATAGTATTGATTAACTTATTAACTCAAAATTCTCCATACAGTGGCTCCTCGTGGCAATGTGAAAAAATGTTTATAGAGCTCTACATCTCACTCTAAATCAATACCCCTTTCTCATTGGTTTAAACCCGGTAACAGTCAGCATTCAGTGGCTTTGGGAGCAGCTCACTGACGTGTCTCTAATCGGGTCAAACGACTCGGCAAGCGACCAGGGTTTAAATCGCCTCGGCTCTGATCAACATGATGTGGGAACAACAGAGCCGTGGTTGACCTGCTAAATTACGTGACACCATTGAACGCAGCGTACAGACGTCAACACACCAGTTGCTTCTGATCTAACGAGATGAAACAACTGCTTATAGGTGATAAAGCTGGTGCAGCTCTCGTGAGAGTGGGAAGAGTGAAACAATGTCCCCACCAATTATTGGTGAGGACATGTCCCCTCCAGGTCATGGTTGGTGGGGACATGTCCACCCCAGTCCTTCAGATAGTTACGCCTGGGGGTTAGACCCAGCTTTTTTTGCCAGTGGGAACCAAATGACGATTGTTAGCGTGTCCAAAAACACGCGGAAACCCACTATAGTTGGAAAGAGGCTTTAGATTAAAAATGTAGGACCTTGGCTGAACTGAGACTATAAGCTGACAGGAGTTTATCGACTGTCAATTTATGCAAACGGAGCATCAGAAAGTCTAGTCTGCGTACTTCTTGCCCTTAAAGAATGGAAATTATCCAACTTATTCAGGTTTCTTTTTATTTCTTATTTTCCTGCTCTTGCCCCTCGCTCTGGTAATAATGCACTAACGAATTCCAGTAAGCCTCCATTTAAAAATGACTAGCAGGGGATGATGGCAAATTTCAAACACCAAAGAAATCCTTTGAGCAGATATTTATTAATAATGTCTCGTCAAATCTAAACATTTGTTTAAAAAAACAAATATTTGTCACTATAGTTTTACATTCCTAATTTAAACAATTTACTTCAGTTTTTAAACGGGTTAATTTTTTTCTGATTTCTTCTCAAAAGCTAAAAATGCTATGTGGTTTTGTTTATAATACAGTTTAGTCAATTTCAGCTCATACTGTAAAATGTCTCGTTCAACTTAAAACTTTGTTGAAATAAAAATAAGGAGAAATAAACCTTTGAAAATCTGCACTTTTAATATTTATTTAGAAAATCAGTTCTGTTATAACCATTAAATACATCTTCTTGTCTCGGTAGGAGAGAAGATGTGGGTATCTGCAGATCTCAGTGCCTCAGTACATTGCCTGCTGTGGGTTCACCTGGACCCAGAGCAGAGCAAGCCGGAGCTGCTGCTTTCAGGAGGAAGCGACAAATGTTTGAGGCTGTGGAGGAAAACCGAAGGAGAAGAGGGAATGCTTGAAGGCCTGATACACCTGAAAACATTTGGGGTGCAAAAAGAAAGCATCCTGGCAGTGGAGCAAAACTCCACTGTTTTGGCTACAGCTTCAGGTAAGAGTCACTCGTAAAGTTCTTCCTTTTAGGAAGTACTGATTAAACTTCTTTACTCAAGTAAAAGTAACAAAGTACAGGCTTGTAAATTTACTTAAAGTATAAAAGTAAAAGTAGAAACCACTTTTTTCATGCCGTTGCCTACATTTTAGATGGATGTCTGCCAATAGGACTAGATCTCCGTTGTGTTCATTTTCAATCATCTCGTCGTCCATGCTACTATGCTAACGCCACCGCCACCAAGCTGCAATGATTTGCCGCGAATGAATACCGCCAAATCTGTCGATTCATCTTGTAGTGGTGCGTCAAATGCAACGTAGATTCCCATCCAATTAGATTGAATTTGGTATTGATGACGTGAAAAATAACAACGGTAACTCCATTGAAATGATTCAAAACTAAAGTAACGAGACAATTTTTTAAAATGTAAGGAGTAGAAAGTACAGATATTTGTGTAAAAATGTAAGGAGTAGAAGTAAAAAGTCGCCATAAAAATAAGTAGTAAAGTAAAGTAAAAATATTAGAAAAATCTACTTGAGTACAGTAACAAAGTATTTGTACTCTGAAAAATACCAAGTAGCACTAAATTGTTGACTTAGAAACAATGCTGTCAAGGAACGCTATGGACAGCGGAAACATGCAAGAAGAGGAGAGTTTAGTGTCGGAGGTCGTGGATGAGTCTCCTCCATGATACATTTTTTATTTAGAGGAGGAAAACGCGGACAAAGTTTTTGTGGAAGAGGACGCCAGGGCGGCAGAAGCTTGGTTTGGTGTAGAAGGCTTCCAGCCGTACATGTTTGAGCCCTTGCCTCGCAACGCTGCCAGTTCTGTTAGCAGATGACTGTTAGCAGATGACTGTTAGCAGATGACCGTTAGCAGATGATTGGCCAAATTTAGGTGTGCAAGTTGACGTATAACTAACTAGCCTGCATAAGATATTGGAAAAAACCCACAGATTTATATACATGTTTAAGCCAAAATTATTTTACATTCAAATATGACTTCCCTATGACTTTAAGGACAGTTTTCTTTATTAACTTTAAAAAAATGCTGGTCTTCATGAAGACATGCATGGCTCTTGTGGATTAAAAAGCCTTGTTGAACTGGACCTTATGACCAAACTAAACATTTGAGAAAACATTGGGAATACACACTCTTTGTTTAGAGAGCCACATTAAAACCATCAGACAACAGAAAATACAGTTTGTACATGTTTTAATGTATAACACTAGTCAGAATACATTTGTAAAACCAAGATAAGACTTTATCTAGTGTCCCATGTGTAGTAAATTCTGTAAGTATGTTTTATGAAAAAGCCTTTTAATGTTTGTGTAAAACAAAAAAGATATCTTAACAGACTGGCTATTAATCAATACTATACATAAAGACAGTGGTTCCCAAAGTGTGGGGCGCGCCCCCTAGGGGGGGCGCAATGCCATTGCAGGGGGGGCGCGGGAAGCGGTATGGATGAATGAAGAAAAGCGGTTGTTTGGGGGGTAGGGGCGTGGACATTTTATTGTAGTCCAAAGGGGGGCCCAGAAGAAAATCTTTGGGAACCACTGCATAAAGAACAGACAATAAAAACCGAACTGTTCACTTTAATAACCATTTTTTATTTTCTCAATCAAAAACAGATGATTTCACCATCGCTCTGTGGCCTTTGAAGGACCTAACCGAGAACTCCTCCATTAAAGTATCAGCTGTGCTGAGAGGACACCAAGGAGGAGTCACCTGCATGGCTTTCAGCCCTGATGGTTCTCAGCTCCTTTCAGGTGGAAAAGATAAGGTACCTTCTTCAGCTCAGATAATTTACAGACCTTTTTTTTTTTTCATAAATAGTCCAACTCACACATTACTGACCTCCTACTTCTGTTGATTGAGGTTTAAAAGCTATATTTCTGTTCTGATGAGGCCTGTGTTTGTTTCAGGCTTTAATGTTGTGGAATCCCGACCCTTTTCAAGCGGCTCTTCTGAAATCCTTCCCTCACTGTCACCGAGACTGGATCACCGACTGTGCCTGGACCCCCGACTGCACTGTGAGTTCTCATTTTTCTCTATGTTAAATATATTACCAACTTATGATTGTGTAAACACTTTAATCCTATTGGGTGTTTTTATGGTGCTTTTTAAATAAGTTGCAAATGATCAATCATCAAACAATACCTAAAGTGGTTTACAGAAGTATGTATTGTCCTTTTAGAATTTGTATTTTAACCAGTTAAATTACAGTTTGGCTGTATTGTTCATTTAGAGGCTACACTGAATACAAAAAACAAAATACTAAATAAAAACTGGATCTTAAAAATACAAATTATTATACAAATTCAAATGCAGAGAGTGAATTTCCCCATTGTGGGATAATAAAGGGATTTACAAGTATTCACATTTACATAAATATAAATAAAGCTTGCAATGCTTTAATTCTCATGGTAATAAAAAATAATTAAATGCCAGCTGGAAACAAATGTCTGTATAAATAGAAATCTAGTGGATTTTGAATCCTTGATGGCAGCAATTCATCTATAACAAGCATGTGGTGGCAATGGAGAAGATTGGAGGAAATATCCATAGGAGCAACACTGAGAAAGATCCTATTGGCATTTAGGGCTGAGATGTTCAGGAAGCAGACAGATAAATCACAGCAGAACTGGAGCAGTAGGGATTTCTATAGGAAACAAAAAACACAACAAAAGGGCAATTTAAACCTCTGTTAATTAATCCTGTTCTAAAAAAAAGAATAAACCTAAATGCCGAAGCAGTGAATCAGGAAAACTTTGCATAGTGCAGAGAATTGGAGAAATTAAATCTCCTTTTCTGGCATACAATGTAACAAAACCGGGGTAAAACATGTGAAAATGGTGCGATGCTGGTGGTGCAGGGGTTAAGTGCACGATCAATGAACAGAAAGAACTGAAAGAAGGCTTAGTTCTTGATGCGGCCATCACAGGTTTGAGTCCCAGTTTCTCCTTTATCATTTCCCATCTCCTACTATTGAAAAATGATAAATATAACGGCCACTAGAGCCTAAAAATTCCTGAAAATAATCAACCCTCTAAAATATTCTGAACTTGTTCAATGAACCTCCCTACACAGAGTAATTTCTTCTTTATGTTTTCTTCCAGATAAGCTCATCAAATGATGGGAGGCTTTGTTTTTGGGACTTAGAAACAGGTTCCTGTCTCAGAGAAATCTCCTGGAGGAACCCACTTTCCTCAGTCTGCTGTGTGGTGAGAAAGTTATGACTCTTAGTTCATACTCTGTGTTTTTGCTTTCCTCAAATAGATGTTTCTCAAGTTGACTTAATTCAGTTAATCTAGATTGCACCAGTTCACCATAAACATAGAGCAAGTCAGCTAAATATATTGAGATCTTTCTTATAATTCAATGTGCTTATAATGTAATGCACTTTAATAGAGTCAGTCTAGTTACATTACATGGTGGACAGAACACGTTTCTTCTAAAGCTCACTAGCAAAAACTAGAAAAAACAGGTCCCCAGTACTTTCTATATGATAAAGATAAGAAGGTTACCCAACGTTAATAGCAGCAATATCCCCTCCAGGGGCTCTACCAATGAAAGGGACACGGCTAATGACAGTCGCTCTTAGCCTGAAGTGCTTTCTATAAAAAAAAAGCTGATTTAATGGTAGCCATAACTCTTGGATAACCTTATTTGGAAGAAAAGGGTTGAACTGTGAACAATCTTAATGGCAGCCGAAGTACTAAATATTTAAACTTAGAATCATTGAGTCCTGGGTAGTTTCTTTGGGAGCAACAGCTCTGTTAATAGAACCATCCATGAATGGAAAAGGCTAAGAACAGAATCACTGAACAAAGTCTACCTTCTATGGGAGAGAAAACAAGGAACATACAAGAGAAATATCCAGCTAAGTAGACCAGGTGTACCTTTAATGTAAAGAGAATGAAGAGAGGCAAAGCATGAATAGCAGCAATAAATGATGCATAAAGGGAAAGCAGCAAGATACGATGATGAGAGTAGTCTTTATAGCAGCCTACAAATATTTAACTACAGAAATAATCTAAGAAAACCTACAGAAAACCTCAACAACTCTAGATACAGGCTTAAAGACAGTCTTAATCCTTGTTTTTCACATAAACTTGTAACTTGCTGGAGGGATGAAAGCAGAGGGCTGGTTCCTCGGAACTGAATCTTGATTTTTCTTCTGTTCTGCTTTTAGAAATGCAGGGAACATGGAGTAAAATCATATTTAAAGTGATTCTAGTAAACATTTATTCAGATAAGTGTTGGTGTTTCTGTGATCAGGGGCCGCATGTAATCGCTGGCTGCTCAGAGGGGACGCTGCATGTTTGGAAGTGGCATGACAAAACTGAAATCTGCCACATATCTGCTCACAAGGAAAAGATAAACTACTGCCGCCCCGTCCCAAACACAGGTATTAAAACCTAATCTCAGTTTATGTTTTTATTCTAATCTGAAAGGGGAAATAACAGAAAGTTGAAATGTTGTCCTTAGTCCCGGAGAAGGAAACCAAACCAGAGGAGCTGACAGTTTTCACTGCATCTGATGACGGCTCCGTCCAGCTCTGGAAACCTTTGCAGGTATCCCACTTGAGATCAAATCAACTAATTTCATTAGATTCTACTTAATGTCCACGCAGCTTTCATCTGCAGCATTTACTCTTCCCTTACAGAATTAATTATACATTTCCTCAGGTTTGACCTAAGGATTAATAAAGTTCTTCTTTCAGGTTGAGCACTTACACGCCTTCCTGGGTCACAGTGGTGCCGTTCATGGAGTGGCTCAAAAAGGAGGAGTCCCAGAGTTTCTGACTGTGTCTGAAGATGGTTCACTGAGATGCTGGAAAACAGGTAAAACAATTCCAGAGACGCCTACCTGTGACCTAAAACAGTGTTCTCAATCCTGGTGTTCAAGAACCACTGTCCTGCAAAGTTTAAAGGTATAGAGGACGATCTTTTATTTCCAGATGGATCATCTAAATAAGTGGTCCTTCTAATTGTCAATCATTCTGGTGATATGTTTACGTAAGGCCCTCCTGCCTGCTCGTCCTGTTAGCCATCTTTTTCTTGCATGCACACTTTCAGGTGTATATCTGTGGTGAGCTACGGTTTCAGACAGTCACTGAAACTCACCTTTCTCACCATGGTTCTTTGAAAATGGCTGAGGGTCATAAGAGAAAAAGTGTCTACAAAGTGTATGAAAAGAAAAGAAAGGCCTCAGAAGAGGCAGATATATATCAAGGAATGCTTTGGGTGGAGAGTTCTCCTCGCAAACTGTGACAGCGGCCCGCTGCCAATACCCGACAGCGGAGACTAATAACAAAGATGGTGCAGGCAGCACCGTGCGGAGGGGGAGGAGTTATGTGACCAACAGGGAGCAAAAAGCAGTGATCATCTGTCCGAATGGTCAGTTAACTGAGTTCGCTATAAAGTTCACTATATTGTGGGATTTAGGGGTTAAGGCTGATTTATACTTATAAACTAGGTCCCCGCCCCTTCTGCAGACACTCTGCTGTACCTCTACCAAATCGTAGGTGACCACAGACAGTGACGCAGACAGGAGGCTTCTCATTGGTCAAATGGAAATCTGCCCTACCCTATTCGTATTTCCTGTTTGGTGCCTCACTGGTTTGTTTTGTTTGTATGACCACCACTGCGGAAAACGACTCGTGAAGATGGACCAGCTAGATGAGCGAGGTACGCGAGAACGCTGGGACCCACCTGGATCCCGCTCGTTTTCGCCCTCGTGTCTCTCCTTTGTCGGGAAAACTTGCCCCAACTTCCTCACCACCTCAGCCGTATCTAGACCCACAGCTAGTTCCTGATTATCCCTCTTGCATTGTGTTGTGGAATAACATAGCGCAGACCATGCTTTAATATTGGGTGTAAATCAAGCTTACTACTGCAGGGAGTATAAACAGCGCTTTGGGGAGGACAATCGGACACAGTAAGCTTGTATGAGCTATGCTAACAGCAACTGTTAAACAAAGTGTGCACGAGGAGAAATGGGCTCGTGCACGCTCTCACATGTGGAGAGGGCAGGTCTTTCAAAAAATGTGCGAAAACCCTCCACAAAACCCTTAAGGTGACTCCTTGGTTCCACACACCAGACTTGCATAAGGTGATGATTAAAAGGGTTCTGCAGTACTTGATGGCTGCTGAGAAGCTCATACAATCATTTGAAACAGCTGTGCTACAACAGAGAGACGTCTAAAACTTGGAGAGCAGTGGAACTTGAGGACCAGGGTTGAGAACCACTGATCTAAAACTTTGGGATAAAGTAACTGTCAATAAAAAGGATACATAGGTGTCCATATTTGTAAATGTTAGTCAAATATGTAAATAAGTTTGGGGTTTGTATTTGTTTTTATTGTTTTCAACTTCTACATTCATGTGACATTCAGACGCAGAGGCGTGCACAGCCATTTTGGGGGGCAGGTGCTCAGGAGGGGGGGAGGGCACTTTTTAGCGCACGTGCAACACTTAATTATAAAAAAAAATAAACGCATGTTGAA